CTACACCAGGATCCTGAACACCCGGTATAGTCACAGGCCCGCTAATAAAGCTTTTCTATTGGCAATCTTCTCTGGTAAATATCCCACAACAATGGGAGACATCTCGTTCAAATCAACACAGAAGGCTACACACACAAGGACGGCATGAGGATGTTATGACACAGGCCTTCCCCACAGATGAGGAGTTCTTGCCTCTTGAGAAAATCCTAGAAACTTCACTGAAGTAATTTGGCCAGAATCTAATGAGATAAGTTTTAAAGAGATTAACATGGGGGGTGGGGGGCAGTGTACAGGGGTGTGCAGGCCAAAGCTTGCCAATCCTTTCTCCCCAGTGCTTCTCACCCTAGACTACTAGAGGTCGGAGAAAACTCAGCATGACCTATGGGGAGCAGCTTGAGAAGATACAAGTGAACGAGAATGTTCGTCTCCAGGCAGCAAACACCTGGGCGGACCACCTTCATGTCTGTCTCCAAGCCACACATGAGTTTTTACACTTATTGGATATTTGTGGTCCTCAGGAACCCAAGAGCAAAAAACTCGTAATATTTCATTTCTGCATTGAAGGCATGTTGATCATAGCTGTTCCCAGATAGAGGGCAATCCTGAGAGGTAAGGCATATCCTTCGTTGAGGGGACGCCTAGTTAAATATGGTAAAAAACTGGAGTAGAGGGCTCAGGGGACTTCTAATATCTCTTCTCATAAGGACCACACCAACTTTTCTTGGGGAGCCACCCTCACCCATCCTCAGGCTGTGGATCAGCGGGGTTGAGCACCTCTTGCTCCAGAGATGGGCATCTCTCCCACACTTAGGCCTTCCTCACCAGACTGCAGCAGCAAGGGTGATTGCATGTCAGTGCTGGGCCAATCAGTGCTCAGAAAATCTGATGCTAGATTCAAAACATGGGATTCAAGCCTGGAGCTGCTGGGAGCCCCCTGGTCATAAAAGTGGGACAAACTAACTAAGAAAAGGCTCCTCATCAAAACTGTCCCCCTGAAAACTGGGAAACAGACACCAAAGTCACATAGCAGAAATAGGCGATTTCCTGGAAACAATTCTTACGTCCCTAGAAACACACCCATGCCTGAAGCCAAGGTCACCTTGTAAAGGAGGGAAAAGCCTTTCCCCCTCAAGCGGGTTGAACTGTATTTCCGTTGTCCACGGACACAGGTACTGACCATTCCAGAGGGCCCTCTAAGACCTCATTCTGTTCCACTTTGCTCTGTTTGAGCCAGACCCCTCCTCTTAAAGTCAGCTTCTGAACTACCTTTCCCTGTTGCTGGGGACTGAATGCTGGGCTAGACATGCACACCAGTCAAATGTTCAGTCTCTGAGCTCCATCCTGAGCCCATCTGTCATCGAACTGGGGGTGAGGGTATCACAAGCTATGCCCAAGTCAGGTCCAGCAACCTGTTCTCAATAAACCAATAAAGAGAGCCAATTTAAAAGTGGAAAGCCCCCCCACCCAAAAAAAAAAAAAACCAGGAGGAGATTTATTCAATGCTACATTGAAAAGACAGAAAGAGCTACATAAAAACCCTCAAGTCTGTCTTTGGGGCCCTGAAGTGAGATGGAAGTTTAAATAGAGAGCAAAGGACTTGCACATTTGACTCGTCCCGGTCAAGGTGTGGTCCCGCCCACCGACCCATCTTTCTCTGGACTCAGTCTCATCTTGAAAAGGTATTCTGACAGGTTGCTATACCTGTGTGAAATATCTTACAGGGAAACAAATATACACAAATGTGCACACACACATACACACACGCGTACACTCCTACCTTTTCCTTTTGCTAGCATGAAGTTCCTGGAGAAAACCTTATTTCTCTGGGGTCCATTGTATCAAGATCTGATAGTCAGACTGAGAGATACAAGTATCTCTTTGGAAGATCCTCATTTCTGACAGGCCAGTTACACTCCTTTGTTTTTTTGAGACAGGATCCTCTAAGTTGCCCAGGTTAGTCTTGAATTCACTCTGTGGCCTGAGTTGGCCTTGAACTTATGATGAACTCATGATGACTCAGTGGCCCGAGCAGCTGGATAACATTAAGTGACTTAAGTTTTTAGAATTTTCAATGCTGTCATTTCTGCTTAGAATAGAGTCCCCATGAGCTAGGAAATAGCTCAGTGGTTAAGAGCACGTTCTGTTCTGGCAGAGGACCCAGGTTCAGTTCCCAGCACCCATGTTATGGCTCACACTGCTTGTAACTCCTATTCCAGAGGATCCAGCGCCCTCTTCTGTCATCCACAGGCACTGCATGCACCTGGCTCACACACACACACTAAGAGTGCACATGAAATAAAATAAATAAATAAATAAAAATAACCAAATCAAAATAAAACAAACAAACAACTATAATCCAGACTCCGTGAAAGGGAGCGTAGAGAATGTTGAAAGTGTGAGAATCAAGTGAGAAGATGACCGGCAGGGCAACTATTTCAAGCCCACAGCAACCATTCCTGGCCTCCTGCAGCTCGACTTTTACAGTAAGATCGGGTGGGTGGTCAGGAAACACCCCACCAAGCCCTAGGATACCATACTGGCCACATGCCTCCATGCGAGGGACCATTAGTGAGCTTCCATTTCTTGAGTATGTTCAGAGTGCCATACCTTTTGGTCTCTGTCTCTGCTCTTTCAAGTGCTCCCCAGTGTGAGCATTGTACCAGACCCACTTCCCAGATAAGAAAACTGAGGCTTAAAGAGACTTTTCCAGGGTGGTCAGTGAGGCAGTACAGAGACAAACTCTAAAAGCCTTGCCTCACTGATGGTAAGGGGCTGAAGCCACACTTAGGCTCTCCTTGAAGCTGCCCAAGACTCTCTCCCATCTACGTAAAATGGGGTGTGCCCCCCATTCGCCCAGGACTTAGTCCTGAAGTGGTTGATACAGATACAAGAATTCTCTCTATATAAGAAACACGGGCTTAGCTCTGAGTTATTTCTAATACGGGCAAAACAAAGGAACCTCACTGGGCTCAATCAGCCAGGCAGGCTTGTCCCCAACCCTCTCCCAGCCCACAGGGGCCAGGTCAGTTCCTTTGTTCTACAGGACGGGCCTGGTAACAAGGCAGCCAGGAGCTCAGCTGCGGACATTTTTCATTATTTTCCACCCTGTTAACCTCCATCACACGTCAGGCTGCTGTCAGGCTAAATGAGAACTGTGAAGATTTATCTCCCTTGTCCCAGGGCTCAGCTCGGGAAAAGACAGCCTTCATTTCCTAAAGGCCTTGCCGGCCCTTTCTCCCTGAGTCATTCCCACCCAGGCAAGGCTGTGACAGCGGCAGCGGGCGGGGGCCAAGCCAGGATCAGGACTCCAAAGCAGCAGACAGCTAACGCTTGCTGGCTGGCCTCTGCGAAGCACTGGGGGGTGATAGATTTTTTTTTTCTGGCACTATATTTACTGTTCTAATTATGTTTGCTTATGCAAATATTAAACTCAGACCACATTTCATAAACACGGCTTCAGGAAGAAACCAGAAGTATTCTGTGTGGTGGGAGGTCATGAGGCAGCAGCCACAGCCCTTCTGTGGACGCCACCTTCAAAGGGGACCATCCAAGCACAGACCTTGGGAGGGTGATTCTATTTCAAGTCAGCAGCTTGTCCCCTTCCTTGTGTGTCTAGCCACCCTGGGTCACTGGATCACTAAACTGTACCTCAGCTACACTGAGTGACAACCGCTGCTATCCTAGGGTCACAGCCAGCTCTCACAAAGGAAGGCCAGGCTAGCCTGCGTTGCCCACTCCCCTCCAAGGTGTTTTTACCCATTTCACAAGAGAGAAAACTGAGGCACGGAAAATGTAAGTCATGAACCCAAAGATACACAGATCACACGAGAATGGCGTATCCTGTCTAATGCTAGCGGGATGGTCTGTGAGCATTTCACAAATGAGGAAACTGAGGCACAGGTATGAGTCACAAGCCTGAAGATATATGGGACACATGGGTTTTTAAAGGGATAGTACCAGGATTACTTTCTTTCTAAAATATTAAGGAATCTAGTGTCCTGCTACGGTCCTTCCCCACAGGACAGCATGCCTGACCTTCACACAGGCCCCCCAAAGCAGTCAACTTCAGCCTCGCTCAACAGACTAAAAGAAAGCTAAATGACACACCCATTTTATAGAAAATTCAATTCTTTGCACAGTTACATAGAGCCTCCATTGTGTAAGACGCGTAGGACAAAGGCTTTAGGGGACATAAGAAGTGATGGCTCTCTTCACGCTTGGCTCCTGGATATTTCCCTGGGTAAACCTTTCTTTTAACAATGGAGTATTCCACCAAAGCCTGAAAAGTAAACCAACTTTTGAGCCTATGATTCTCATTGTGGAAACTGATCCTGAGTAACAATGGACGTGGGGAGAAGCTCACAGTGGGGCTTTCGGTAACAGTAAAAGAACGGCGTTTACCAAAGTGTTCAACAGAGAGACACCAGGCACGTAGGTCGGGGTAAGTCTATATAACAAAATGCTGTGAAGGCATTCAAGACAGAAGTTTATTTTCAGTGTGGGAAAGTTCTGACAGAGAGCATCACCTAAGTTTGGTAGGTGACATAAGCAGGCAGTCACATCAAATACACAGTATGATCTTACACGGGGAAAGGTGTACGCACTCTAGAAAATGCACAAATTAGAGGCACTAGCGGGAAATTTATATAGGTATACATTCTTAGAATTTTAAAACTGGTTGACAGGCAAAATTTCTGTTGATTTAAATTTTTGTGCCCATGCCCACCTCCACTTTTCCAGATGGCCTATGATAAACATATACTACATATCTAGCTACGTAAAGGCTTTTACTCTTGTGTCCGTAGGTGCTAAAGAGGCTGAGTACACACAGTCTTTCAAAGGCACATACAGAGGTCAAATTTGGGCTGGAGAGTATGGTGAACTCCTCTGCCCCCTGTATCATTCAACGCCTGCCTTTCTGGTCCCTTGTCCCCAAAATACGGTAGAATATTGTCATGGCCAGTCTGGGAAAGACACCTGGGGCAGATAGGGCAGCTCACCTTTTTGAAGAGTCTGATGACATCCTCACTGATCTGGGAAAGACGGACGATGACATTGTTCATGAAGATGTCATTGAGGGTGGCATGATCTCGACTCTCCCGCCGGGTCTGATGCAGTACCAGATACCAACAGTTCACGGGTGAGAGGAGGTATTGGTCCTTCCTGTGGGAACCAAGATGGCTCAGGTTGGCTTCACGTCAGTTCACGTGGTCACTCACTTTTGACCCTCACAGTCACCTTCAAAGTCAATCTTATTACACTTCTTACAACTATAGAAACAGGCCAGAGGAGAGAAGCGATATTTCATGGTTGTAGAGCAAGCAGCTCTAGAGCTAGCCCTTGGGGTCGATGACTCTGTCTCTGTCCTGGGCCATCCATGCTCGTCTTGAATGTAGCACTCATCACATTCCCTCCCTCGTCTGGGAAGAATCTATCTCAACGGGCTGAGAAATACTAAACAGATTGCTCTGAAATATTTCAGGGTTGCTAGGTCTATGCAGTGGAAAACAGAAGAAGCTACTTCCTTTCTGCTAACCTGCCTCCACTAACCCACAGAGTCCCTTGGGCTCTTAACACCTTTGTCCTTCCCTAGGGAGCTCCTGACCTCCTAAAAACCAGTCTGACAATGACGATGCTTGAAAGAGCTGGGGAGGATAGGCCTGAGGGGTTCAGAGTCTGCTTGTGAGAGCAGAGGCAAAGGAAAATACAGGCACCTACAGGATAAATAAGCCTTTGTCCGATAGTGACTGATGGGCTATCAGACTGACTCTAGCTGGGGTCTAGCTGGTGATGACACAGGATGCCATGATGTGATCTCCTGAAAACATATCAGAAATGCATCCTCCGCCCTTGCAGAATCAGAGGCACTGGGCTTGGGCCTGGCAATTTGGGCTTTAAGAAGCCCTCCAGGCACTCCGATGTGATCTGATGTCTGAGAATCTCTGTGTATCACTGCTTCCCAGGCTAATGAGACAATCAAAAATCTCTCTTGTCTCTACTTTCCCAAAGATCCCTCAGTGGGGCTCAGGAAAAGGGGTACATGCTCTTCTGTAAGGAGAAAGGCAAATAAAACCCTAAACTCAATGCAATTGATGACCCCATCTTGACACATAGCATACCTGAACTGGGGTTCTCCTTCTTCTCTCACTGTGCTTTCTATTGTTGAAAGAAATATTGTAAACAAGGCCCACCACTAGTTCCAGAGAACCCCAACCCTGCCTTGTTCCACCCTTGTTCTGAATGACTGACTCCTTGGGGAGCAGGCTAAGTAAGGAAAAGCAGCCGCTGGGTCAGGTTGTGAGGAAGGTTAAGTGCTGACTCCAGCTGTTACTGCACCCTCCTCACCAGGACACAGCAGAGGTGTTGTGGAAAACAGCCCCATGGGCTTCTGGGATGTTCCTCTCTCACCTTCCCCCAGCTCCTGGAATTTGAGAAGGTAAGAGAAGAGGAGCCATTTAACTTCAAGGAGTTTTTTCTTCTTCTATCATCAAATGGGCTGGAAAATCTAGGCAGCAAGTATTTGGGAGAAGAGAGTTTGGGACAGAGGGAATGGTCAGACCAGCAGCACTGGCTTTACTGGGGAATAATTGGAAACACACGTTGTCAGGGTGAGTACGCAACTGCCTAAGAAAACATAAAGAGGATGCAACACTAACGAGCCACCCTTTGCTGACATTCTGGAAAGATCTGAAATGGTAAAATTCAGGCCTAGCTAGGTGCACCGATTTCACAGCCGGTTCTGAGTGGGCTGTGTTCTTCTACAGGCGTCTGTAACACAGACTCTGCCTTGAAGGGGTTCCCTGTCAAGAGGTTGAGATCAAAGCAAAAGAAAAAGAATTAAAGAGGAGACCATGTAGGTCAACAATGTGGATGCACCCAGAGCACCCGTCTGCTGGAGTTACAGGAGCCGTGCACCCTAAGCACTTTTACACTGGTCCCTTCTGTTTTCATGACAGGCTCCTCCTTCTGGGAGTTGCACACCGTGCCCTTCTTGCTACCTGGACCACGCTAGCAACTCCTTCCCTGGCTGCCTCCTCCACTTCCTGTATAGCTCAAGTGCCATTCTTCTTCAGAGTAATCCCTTGACCGTGGCTGACAGTGGTTCTCAAGTGTCCTCTCTGGCCAGCAACACTGGCATTGATAGGAGCTTGTTGGAGGTACAAACTGTCAGGACCACTAATCAGAAACCCTGGAGTTTGGCCAGGCACCCTGGCTTTACAAGCCCTTTTGGGGATTTCGGATGCATGTGTGACTTTGAGAACTACGCTAAAATTTGGACCTGAGCATCTCCCAGTGGTTCCCAGGGTGGTGCTGTTAGGAAATGAGGGAATCTTTTTAAGAGGTGGGAGGCCATTAGTTCACTGAAAGCACAGCCTCATGAGACCTCAGGCCCCTTCTCCACTTCCTGCCGTGAGGCTATCAGCTCTGCGATACCATGAATTCACACCACACCATGATATGCTATGCCCTACACACATACGCGGGAGACCTGGAAGCCCAATTGTTGAGTAAAACCTATAAGACTGTTAGCCCAAAACAATAGAAAACAAAACCAAAAAACTTTCTCTTCAGAAATTGACTATCTCATGAAATTCCTTGTTGTTACAGAAGGCTGCCTCATGCATTCTGCCTTTAATTTCTAGGCCCCTCCTTTCACCTTCCTGGGAACTCTTAGGGAGCAGGTACTGTTTCTGTTGTACTCGCTGTGCTCAGGGCCCAGTAAGGTGGCAACCACAGAGCAGATGCTACGCTAAAGGGACCCTTGAAAAAAGATTTCATTTGTACTGGGGTTTTGAAGAATGGATATGGGGCTCCAATCAGAAGTCTGTGTGTGTGTGTGTGTGTGTGTGTGTGTGGTGTGTGTGTGTGTGTGTGCGCGCGCGCGCGCGCGTGTGTGTGGTGTGTGTGTATGTGGTGTGTGTGTGTGTGTGTGTGTGTGTGTAAGAGAGAGAGAGAGAAAGAGTGAGGGAGACTGAATAATAAATCATCTCGGGAAGCCCTGAATTCTGAGGCTACTACTGGAAGATGGTTAGAAATGAGGGGCTGGGAAACAGCATAGAGACTTGACTGCAGCAGGCATGGAGTGTCAGATCAAGTGGTTGGGACTCTGCCATCTAGGCTATGGAGTTTTGAACCCACATTACATAGTGGAATAACCTCGGGGACTTATCAAAATACCAGGACACAGTGCTAGAGTGGAACTTGCTATTGGTACTTTAAAAACATTCTTCAAAAGATTTTACTCTGTTGTCAGAATTCAGAATTTTTTTTCTTGGAAGTAGGAGGTCACAGAGGTTATGTAAGTATAACTAGTGTGTGTTTTGAAAAAATCACTGAGGGGCAATTGGAGGGAGAGTAAGGTGGGTAGATATAATGAACAGATGGATGGACAGATGACTGAGTGAGGTAGATATGTAGGTAGGCAGCTGGATGGCACAGATGGATGGATGGATGATGAACAATGGATGGATGGATAGATAGATAGATAGATGATAGATACATACATACATACATACATACATATGTATGTATATATACAGATGCATTGATAGTTATATGGCTGAGTGGACAGATGAATAGAAAATAAAGATGATAAATGGATATAGAATACCGAGCAGGTGGGTAAGTGTGGACACAAATATGAGTTAGAGACAGGAGTACCACTCATGAAGGAACCTTATTTCAGGCAAAGGGAGCTGGGGAAGGCTGGGTGGTAGCACTGGGATCACTGAAGTCTAGACAAACCCCCCACATCAGGGTACATCTCATCTTGAAGAGCTGCAGGAAAGACGAGTGTGAGCAGAAGGAGGGAATGGTGATTCTGAAAGTTGGCTTTCAGGCTACTGGGAGGAAGCCAACGACAAGCTAGGAGGAGAGCTGCGGGGAAAGAAGCAGGTTTGGGCAGAGAACACGATCCATCCCACTTCCTGCTACTTCCTGGGAGGCGATGGGAATCAAAGGATTAAAGGAGAGAAGCATAATTGAGCTGTTACTGAAATCGCTTCAGGGGCTTAGCTCAATCTGGGATGCAAGAATTGAACAGCATCTGGGGAATTAAATGTGTAAAAATTATGGAGGTTTCGGAGGAAAGCAAAAAGGCAAGTGATTTTGAAAGGACTCGGAAGTGCTAGATTGACTTTAATGATGACCTTTAATTGGGTTGCCTGGCCAGAGCAAAATGGTAGCAGAGACAAAAGGGACAGAACCAGGAGGTGGCACAGCCCAAGACTGTTGAGGAAGAGTGTGGGAGTGAGGATGGGGAGGAGCAAGAAGAGAAGAAGAAAGAAGAAGGGGGCAGAGGGGAAGGAGAAGGAAGATAATAGCAGCAGCTAATGTATTGAAGAGATCCTGGGGCTCCTTCAGGCTTCCATTCATAGTCTCTCTGTGGGTGCATGCATTTGCATGTGTTCACATGTGGGGCTGCATGCATTCACACATGCACACATACACTAGTTCATCATCTCTCTGTGGGTGCATGCATTTGCATGAGTTCACATGTGGGGCTGCATGCATTCACACATGCACACATACACTAGTTCATCGTCTCTCTGTGGGTGCATGCATTTGCATGTGTTCACATGTGGGGCTGCATGCATTCACACATGCACACATACACTAGTTCATCGTCTCTCTGTGGATGCATGCATTTGCATGTGTTCACATGTGGGGCTGCATGCATTCACACATGCACACATACACTAGTTCGTGCAGGTGCTGTGTGTATAGAAGCTCAACTTCTCTGGTGAGCCTCCGCCTGAGCCTTCTACTTAAAGATGCATGAGAGACAGGAGACAATGCTGTAGCCTCATTAACATATCCACAGGAAGGAGGCTGCTGAGCCTCCATACCAGACCCAGAAGTAAGGTGGTCACTGCTGTCTTCTTTCAGATAGTACTTTCTAGACTGAGGATCAAAAGCTGGAGTGGACATTCCTGGAGCAGAACCTTCTGGGTGGAGAACTATTACCAAAGGGCCAGCCAAAAGGAGAAGAGAGAGCATGCTGGTGAGCTGACGAGCAGCTTCCGTGTGATGCTTGGGGTGAGATCCCAGGGGACAGATGTGGCTAGGAATATGGAAGACACCAATAGCAAAGAGCCTTTAAGGACCATTAAAGAGTTGGATCTTTATCCTGAAGTCATCAGGGAGCAATAGAAGGCTCTAGA